TCACGTTCTCGGCGTCTACGTTACTGTGAAGTTAATGGGTCGATATCCTCAGAAGGAGTGGCTCTTTGCAGCGATTGGCCTCGCAATGGAAGGGTTAAGTTGTTTTGCAGTACCATTCACCAACACTATCCTGCAACTTATTTTGCCGCTTTCGACAATTTGTTTCGGGATTGCTTTAATCGATACATCATTGCTGCCGATGCTTGGCTATCTGGTAGATACTCGTCATGTCAGCGTTTATGGAAGTGTTTATGCGATCGCTGATATATCATACAGTTTGGCTTACGCGTTTGGGCCAATAATTGCAGGAGAAATTGTTTCAACGATGGGCTTTGTGGCGCTTAACATCATCATTTGTGTGCTGAATTTGGCCTACACTCCAGTGCTTGCGCTGCTTCGACAAGTTTACCTCTATCAGCCGTTCGAACATAAGCAACAACGGCAACAAACTGTTTTGGATGCTGAGTGCGGGCAGCTAATAAGCGATGCTAACTTGCCCGACACCACTATGCATAGCTTCGACATGCCACAACTTCAAAACTACGGTGCTATCCAGCAACAACAATTTGATGCCTCAAATCAATGGGGTGCACAACCGGAATATCCAGCTGGTTACAGTCCGGATGACCCTTTGAATGTGCAGTGGTAATATCGTAAGATTATGTCATCCGTTTGTGCATAGTCAGCACTATTACTATTATCAACTCTATGGCTGTTACTTTTGCTTCAGCGACCGCTACTGCTATTTTGTAAAAAGCAGTGCTTGTGATCTAGTTGTGGCTAGCTTTTAAGATACCCCGATATGTATGTGTAATAGTAAATAATGCTACCTAACGCAGCTGTAATCCAGATTTGATCAGCTTTATTGTGCATACTGTTCAATAATGCATAGCTTAAACAAAATCGGTGAAAAACTGTCAAATCCGTACCGTTTTTCTTAATTGAGCCGGGCTAACGAAAAGTATGGTTTTTTGCAAAATGTGCGTTACTGCGAACGATAAGTTTTATTGTAACAGCGATGTTTAGCTATGAATTAATTCGAAATTTCAAAACAGATAAACACATAATCACTGGAATGAACGGTGTAGTGAAATGAGCGTCCAGCCCAATAGTTTACGGGCAGAAGGGCGAGGAAAGAAAGGAAATAGGGAAGGAAGGTAGTGTTTTCCACTGAGAAATGCGGGGCGTATAGTATGTGGAAACCAAGCGAAAAGTACTATATATATATATTTTTTTTTTTTTTTACATAAAGCCAGTAAATTTTCTTGCCAAAACAGTTAGTATTTTCAGAGTAAGCTGGATAACTCCAATTATTTTTGACGATGGAGGTTTTATTTTCAACAAAAAATTTCAAAAAATACTACAAAAATGAAAAAACAGGATAGGTAGATGATACAGCTGCTTTCTAACAGCTTCTTTTTGTTTTTCTCCAGCAATGTTTTTTTGAAGCTAGTTAAATCCGGATGCTGCATTACATTTGACCATATAAAAAAGCTAATGATGGAGATGACTAGGCCTTTTCGCCTAAACTGATTTTCCAATAACTCCATAACAGCCAATGCTAATAATGGCAAAAAGTTAGTTGACATTTTAAATAGCTGCTAATTCATCGCAGTAGCCTTTCCTGGATCAGTTACTTTTACTCTAGCCACCTCACTCAATTAACTTTCCAAAGGTGTTTAAGTAGATCTTTTCATCTCACTGACGGTATGTTATTTTGCATGGTCCCATGGCCCGATGACTAACTTCTCAGCAGATGTAGTATTCTGTGTTTCACTTCCTTACAAGAGAACTGATATCACTTATGAAACTGAAAATTCCGCACGATACTGCGCTGGCGTCGGGGAATATGTCCTCCAATTCAATGGAGGCTGTCAATCGTCATTTCTTCTGCTCAGAATCCATGCTTAAATCGTATCCTGTATTGTGTGCTCTAAGTAAATATAAATGACAGAAAACAACGGACTGATCCCCGAATCTCATACCAATATAATGGCATTATGCTTATCAAAAATTGATTGAGAAGACACAGTAGAATAGTTATAATACTGGAATTGATACGCAGATTCACTGTAGCTGAAGCTTTGACTACAGAGACCGAAATTAGCTCGAAAAGCAGACTTGATAGAAAGCGAAAATTTTAAAGAAGTAGATCTTATCCACATGGTGCCCTTGAAACTGAAATTCATAGTTTCTTGTACAGCTAGGCCTTATCAAAGGACACAAGAAATTTGAGGCGGGAAATATTCTAATTTGGGAACCAGAAAAGTTAGAAAGCTGAATTTTCAGATGGATGTTTCTTGTCCGCTCTTGCGACAGTAAACGTTCTTAACAGCGCATCTCTGCTATGCAAGTCGCGTAAAACGTACGATCGTTTCCACTATGTTGTGGACGTCCTCAGTTATGTATTACTTCACCTTTACTATGTCCTATATTGAGGAGTAGAATCTATCAGTTGTCTTCGGCAATCGGGAACTTATTAAAGCCGAGAAAGGCAATAACTTGCGTAGTTTTGGGACTAAAAGAGAACAAGGGAAGGGTGAATTTTTCTTTCGCAGAGAATGTATGACCAAACCATCTTTTAAAAAAGTAGTAATGTTTTCGTTTTTATGCCTTATATCTGTCATCATCAAGCGGAAACAGCTCATTTGCTCGACTGACAATAGCTCTTATCATAAAGAACACTCGCCACACGGACGAGATGCGATAGGAACCCAAGGCACTCAGTAAAGAGTCTTGCCTAAAAAATGAAAAATTTAAGGCATAGGAAACGAGGCTTTGAAAAAGCCATCGGCACATCCATTGCAATTTTCACGTAGACTCTACCCACTCGGAAGGAGCTGGCAGTACATCTACTTGAGCAAA